AAAGGAGGAAGAAAATGTTGTTATGTTATTCATTATGTTCATTGTTACAATGATGAAAATCATTTGATATATGAGAAGAAGAAAAAACAAAATCTCAAGCTTACTGTACTTAGTGATGAACTTGCCGAATATATCGAAATGTTATCCCGTCACTATAAATTGAGAAAGTTGAGTGACGCTTCGGAGTTTTTTACTATTTCAATGTCTTGCATGTTTACGTCATTCTACTCGATAGTCTAAAGATCGATCACAACATTTTGAACCAAGTCATCATAGAGTTTGTTGCCTTGATGTTAACTCAGTCTTGTAATGAAAAATTAACATTTGATCACTTTGATATGGAATAATATTAATGCCCCCCTAGGGCATAGTTCAGTGGTGCAAATGATATGAATGAGGTTATCTCACGCCTTGCTGGTAACCGCAGTGTGGGAGTTCGATTCTTGAGACATGAAATTGGACTCGTTTTAGACGCAATGTATAGACAGCTCTTGTTTCCTAGTCTGTTGAGGCACATCCAGCGATTTACCTTCCTTACAAAGCTCTGGGGCGAGACGATGGAGACCCTCAAGGTTGGGGTTCAATCTTTATATTAATGCCAAGTTTGACCAATGGTAATAATGACTAATTACATGACGCTGCATGTTTGGAAATGAAATTACAATTTTGAACTTAAAGTGCAAATTTAACCGTGGCAATCAATTTTGCTTGCTAGAATTGACTGAGTTGAGATTTGTTATCCGAAATTAACTATTCAATTTGTTGTTCGTCTAATAATTTATTGACATTTCACTTTAAATTAAAATGTCCAAATTTTCTCTTACTACCACTTGTGATTAAAAATAAGTGTAAAATGATATGTCAATAAATCATTGGTGGACACCAAATAGGACAGTCAATTTTTGACAACAAATTTCAACTCGAATTTACTATCCCTATTTGGTTTAGATTAAAAAGTTGAAAGCATTTTTGTATATTTACGCTTCTTTCTTGTATTCATTATCGCAACTTTTTCTCCGTGAGAGAATGATTAAAGGTTATCCAGCTACATTTTGGAAGGAGCAAAGCTGAGTGGAGCTGTCCAGGTTAATAACATTTTCTTGAGTTTTTCACTGATCTTGTCGAATTCTTGGTGATTTATGTCTCTTATTTTAGTAATTCTTTTTAATGTGGACCGACCATTATTATTTTACATGGAAATCATCACTCAAAGGTCGGTGATGAATTTGCAAACCCATGATACAAATATTAAAGAAATGTTATTGAGCATTATATAGTGTTATCTTCCATCCAACATTATGACAGTGGGGTTCATAATTGGTTATAATAATTATTGTCACATGGATGAGAGCTAGATATATTATTCATTCATGTAGCATCAAGGGTATAAGGCTTATTTAATTGAATTTATCATTTAATATCACTAACTATGATGTAAATTAATATTAAATATTGTTGATGATCATTGCTCAATGTTCATACTTCATGACAATGGACCATTACTATAGACGTGATCGTTCAAGGTAATGATGAACATCATTATTCTTACTTGAAAATTAGTGATGTACATCGTAAGCAATAAACTAATGATCCGTTTGAGAGGAATTATGTTTTTGCTTTTCCTTTTACTTTTACTTTTGCTTTTGCTTTTGCTTTTGCTTTTGCTTTTGTAAAAACTTCCTATATAAGTGCTTCTTCACGAGGAAGCCACCTTAATTGGTATTTGGAATTAATTTTCAAAAGAGTTTCTTCTTCCAGAACAACTTTTATAAAAAGTTATATTGGATTAACTTCCTTATAAACAAAAGAAACAATGTTACAAAATTAATTAAACCGATTTCAAAACTCATTTTGACTTATTAAAAGTCATGTCTAACGGGTAGGACCGGCCTCATGCCAAAACTAATTGAGCAATGGCCTATGGCCTCAAAAAGGAAAAAATTACATAAGGTCCAATTATATTCTAATTAGTAATTATTGAAACAAGAATTAAGTTAATTGTACGCCCTGGTGCAACCAGTTGGACACCCTTTGAGGTGTCAAAATTGTGCCCATTTGATTTGAATTAGAGTTGTTAAAATTAATTGTAAAATTGTGACATGTCAAAAAGTGTAAATAAAGTTGTCAATCATGATATAAGCGCAGCAAAATTGATTAAAACAAATGGATTCATTTATTAAAAAAATCACTTAACTATAATTTTCTTTGGTCGATTTTTACTTAGTTTGATTGATCTAAAATAACTTTTCTCGAACTTAAAATAGATGATTAATCACGAACTACTAAACGAGGCCAATATTATTATGGTGATATGATCTAATTTTGAAAACTAATATTATCCATCAAGTCGTTTACTTTAATGTGTTATAATTCAAACATGATTTATCCAAATTATTTTTTTCTCAAGTCTTTAATGTGCCGTTTAATGTGATTTTCGAAATGAGTTCAATATTGATAGGACAATTCTTGATCCTCCAATAAATACACATTTACCAGAAATATATTATTGACCTCGAAACTATTTTACTTTAATTGCTCAAGATCTCAGAGTTACTAAACGGTTCCCCAATCATAATCATTGGAATCTGGTTGTCATTCTCATCAATCATCACTAAACAATATTAACTCGTCAACTTATCGTCTAAAAATATATTGTTATCACTATTTATAATTTAATCCCTAAATTTTACCTTCTTTTTTAACATTAGGGCCCATCTCGAGTTTAAGCTTTGAAAATCACTCCTCCTTTAAGTGTCATCTCTATGGTTATTAAAACTTTCTCATAATTTTCACTTTAGTTTTTAAACGCTCTAGAATTTGCTAAAGTGTACATTACTCGAGATAATTCTGCTAAATTTTATGCCACCCTAACTTCTCGAGTTCTCGAAAATGATTTATTTTGCCACTCTATTTTTTGGATGTACAAAGTCTTCGTTTAGATTATATATGTTATTTATTTATCTACAATTTTAAATATATTTATATTATGTTAAAAGCCTCAATAATTAATCGCCTAGAACATCAAATCTCAAGGTCAATCCTACGATTGGATCCTAAATGCACCATAAAAAATAAATCTGTGAAGAATAAAATTCTTTTGTACGTGAGGAATTTATAAAAAGAATCTGGATTAGGGAAAAACGAACTTAATATTCAATCATCGAATCCCTAAGCGGGTCCATAAGTGATAAAGATGGAGCTCCACAGCAGGATAGCAATACTCATACTGTCGGCAAAGCTCCCAATCTATCTGTAAACAGGAGGGAGGCCCCGCCCGGCCCTGAATAAAAGCTGAGGCGTGGCTTTAATAATTTGACAGAATAATTAAAGTTATAGAATAAATACTTTCCCGTAAATGGCTCAAACAATTCAACGAATAAGGATAATTACTTTAGCTTTACATCTCCGTCAATTTAATGACACTTGTGACGTTCCTATCTGTACAATAATATCTTTTTTCACCGACCTTCAAAGACGTCCAAATATTTCGAAATAGTAATAATATCTATTAATAGTGACATTCAACACCATTACAAGCAGTAGTCGAGCCCACATTCTACAATCGGTGGTCATAAGACAAACCCATATGATCGTCAATGGTCATGTGGACTCTATTACAATTCAGACTGTTGTTGAAGACCACTATTGATAAATTGTACTATTCGAAGAGGATTAGAATTTGAGAAGTTAATAAGTGGATTATGTTTGTGGGTATTATGCAATGTATAAAAAGAAAAAAAGGGGAAAAAAAAAGTGATTAATTGATTATAAATAATTTGTAAACATTATCGAAATATGGGTCAAGTCATTTGACCTTTTCTTGGGCAGGTATGACATTGATTGGTAGCAAATGCATTTCAAGTCCGTGTATATTTTGCGGTTCAAGTTCGTGTACAGTGTACTTGTCATTCTAGATATTTGTGACAACACGACAAGTTTTCACATCTTCCAAGTTTATATTAGTTTGATTAAAACGTAGATATTAACAAAATAAAAATAAAAAATGAATTATAAAATCAAACTTTTTTTTTTTTGTATGAATTAAAATAAGATATTTAGAAAATTTTGATGGAAATTGATAAAATAAGGGATTGAAAAATTTTGAATTTCAAGAAATATAATTAAAATTAATTGTAAACTTTGATTTGAATTAAAATTTTGTTTTAGTTTTTTTATCGATTAGTGGCTAAGCAAAGTGACGAAGTTGATGCAAGAAAAGGTTCAAGAACCATTTATGATGTAACATATGAGTTTAAAATTGACCAGTTCGAACGTAAATAGATATTTGAAAATAAAATATCTAAAAGAAAAGTATGTGAAGGAAATTCATTGGAAACATAGTCTAACTTCTTGTAGATTTTTTTTTTTAAATTAAAAAAATAAATATAAAATGATTATTTCTTGGTATGTCGGCACTCGGAGCATACACGTACCATGAAGCCGCGTGCATTTAATGGGGTCACTTGAATCCTATTCTAAATTGAGGATAATCTTATTTTAGGATTCTAAAAAATCTTTTTAAGTTTGGATATTTTCAATAAACTACATTAAAGTCCCCAACTGATATTTCATTAAAATTTAGATATTTTCAGTAACTCATGAGTTTATATGAATTACATTAATACGTAATAGAGAAATTTTTAAAAATTTGGATGGATATATATAATAAATTATTTTCAAATTTTCACCTTTTTGGCCCATCTGGTATCTTTTTTTCAAAATGTATTTTTCTCTCTTTTCTTTTCAATCATACATTATTTATTAAAATAATATTACACGTAAATTAAAAAAAATTCTTATTTTTCAACCACACATTTTCGATCAATTTACTATTCAAAAATATATTTTTACATAAAAATATCTCTCAAACACCTTTTTAATAAAATTCTCGTGGATTTTGTTGAAATTTATTAGAATTTATAATTTTTTAAAAATCAATCAAAATCTGACACGATGGCACCTTGTTGAATTCCCTATAAATAGGTCACACTCCCTTCATACCTTTCCTCAAATTAGATCAAGAATCCTTTTCATTTTGTTGCATTCAGTTTCTAGTGAAAAATGGCAGGAATCATTCACAAGATTGAAGAAAAACTTGGCATGGGCGGACAGAAAGAAGGTGAACAGCACAAGGGTGAACACAAGCCCGAACACGGGTATGGTGAGCACAAGCCCGAACACGGCTATGGTGAGCACAAGCCCGAATACGGTGAGCACAAACCCGAACACGGGTACGGTGAACACAAGCCGGAACACGGTTACGGTGAGTACAAACCCGAACACGGGTACGGTGAACACAAGCCTGAACACGGTTATGGTGAGCATAAGCCCGAACAAGGGTACGGTGAACACAAGCCTGAACACGGTTATGGTGAGCACAAAGAGGGATTGGTGGAGAAGATCAAGGACAAAATCCACGGTGGTGAAGAGGGTGAACCCTGCAAGGACGAGAAGAAAAAGAAGAAAGACAAGAAAAAGCATGAACACGGCCACGAGCACCATGATGATAGCAGCAGCGATAGCGATTAGGTACGTTTCAAAGATAAACCTTATAAATCCTTAATAAATTATAATATATAATTTGTACATCGCAAATCAAGATTTCATGTTACTATGTTTGTTTTCTTGCAGGTGGTTGAAGTGTCCTAATCCATCAAGCTCGCTGCTACAAATAAAAGTGTGGAAAATGAGAAAATAGGGGGAAAATTTTTTCTTCTTGTTGTTGGCTACTCTTTGATTGTGTATTGGACATGAATTTATGTAATTCTGTAATGTTTTTATTTATGTTTGCTATATAATATGATTCCTTGAACTTTATATAAGATGAGGGTTTGATCACTTTTTGTAGTTATATTAATGTTTAGTATACAAATTGAAACTGGTGGATTGAATATCTAATCTCATTTGGTTTAGATAAAAATAAGATTTTTAATAAATTTTGATAAAAGTTGAAGTCCAATGAATGTGCGACTTAAAATGAATTTAAGTAGAAATAATTTTTAAAAAATTATGCCAAACGAGGACTTAATTGGTCAAATTATTGGAACAAAGATACAACTAAAGTGCCATGAATGAAGGATAGGACAGACTAAAAACTGGGTCGGAAGGCATTAGATGGAACTGAGAAATAGGAATTTGATATTGGACAGGAGAAGCAAAATGACTAATTACGATTCCTGGTGACGTAGTTTCGGTCCTTCAAAATAATGAACTTACGTCTCGATTCTTTGTTAATTGAACTTGTAATAATCATTGTATAATTCAATCGAAAATGAGATTTTTCTTATTAGGTCTGTGTATCGCGGACTTTGCACTTCATGGACAGAAGTCGAGCTCAAATCGATATATGGACAAGTTGCACTTCAACCATTAAAAAATAACTCTAGAAATCAAGATCTTAGTCTTGAAATTTTTTTGTTTTTCAAAATTCTAATATCAAATAGAAATTTTGCATTCCTCATAAATCAAATATACTAGGACCAGACAACTTAGTTTTCACTCAGCGAAATGGTATTATTACTCAAACCTTATTGGTCTATGCAAATTGTGAATGTCATGGATAACGGTAATGTTCTTTTGTGTCTTGATATATATATATATTTGGCATAGCCCTTTAGGTCATTTGGCTGTCAATTATGATAAATTTTTGAGTCATGATAGCTCGGCAATTCTTTTCTTGTCTAAGCTTTTGTACCAAGTTTAAACTTTTATAATCACTTCTATTTAAATATTACTTTTTATTTACATATTTCGCAGGACTTATAACTATTCATTTTTTATTCATACATTTCATATGATCTATTTCATAAATTATAATTTAAACAGTTCTAAGAGCATTTTTAAGAGATTCTTTATTGAAGAGTATATTCCATCATTTGAAGAGTATTTACAATTTTATAGAATTAAAATTGTGAAATACTTCAACAAGCTATTTATATTTAACACCTAATTTTACTACTCTCAAAAAATATTTATTATTTTTCTCTGTCTTTTGTTTAACTACCTTTTTTTTAGATTATTTTATTATTTTTCTACATTGAAAATTGAAACACTTTGAATGCATTTAATTATATAGAATGAGTTTGGCCACTTTCTATATTAAACTATTAATTTAAAGAGCCTCTTATAACATAATTTCAAAGGTTGATTTTTTAAAATAGAGAGCATTTCGTGTTTAAGGAGTCTAATGGAAATGCTCTAAAGTAGTATTTGTATAAAATTCGCAAGTATATGAGATTGTTGATAAGTAATAACGTAGTGAGTTTAGTTATAGTCTCACTGTTCTCAATTTTATCCCACAAGTGAAAGAATCGAACAACTAGTAGAGTGGACCTTTTGAGTCCGGATTATCGTTTCCACGAAAACTATATTTTAGTACTCAATTTATTATTTCTAACTTCTATTTGATAAAAATAAATAAATAAATAAAATAAATTTGACTGACTGTGATTTTTAAATCTAACTTCTAAAAATTTGGGAATGCAACAGAAAATTAATGAGAATTCAAATAATAAATGGAGATTAGGGCGGAACAAATTCACTTATTTGTCACCTTTAGTTCTAATATCGAGATTCATAAAATTGAAATAATGTTCGGTCGAATTCTTCTATTGTATTCAACTTTCCCCTCTCGAGTTCTCGTTGAACCTATTTAATTAATTCAATTTCATATCTCTATACAAATCAAATTTAATTAAACGAAATAACAGTTTTAAGAATTTTTATAGGACCACAGTAATTAATATAGGTATCTCTACACGTTATATTAATTTACCGAATTTTAATATGTGGTCTAAACAAGAATCCGGATCTCTACGTAATTATTGTTCACGAAATCATTGAATAATTGGCCAAAAAATTCAAAGCATTAAAAACATAATTAAAATTCACACATAAAATATAAAAGAACAAAAATCTCAAATAAAAGAAATAAAGGTCTAAAATCAGTTACATTGTTCGCCCTAAAAATAAATTTAGCTACGCATGTTAATGAAGGAAAAATAAGATATTATCAAGAAATTCATCACCCGATTAATTGACGGAACGTGAATAATTTGCGAAGTAAATCTACCTTTATCCTTTGCGTTTGTATCTATCTCCCCCCAAAGCTGCTTCGATTTTCTGTGATGTCTATATAATAGAATACTCCAATTGGCCGCCTTTTTGTGATTGCATCTATTAATCCTTAGTAGCGGCCCACTTTCTGTATTCCAATTCTCCCAGCAGTTCTCTGTTTGATAGATTAATTCAGCCCGAAGGCAGCCACCAATGTCTAATATTCAGCAACTGGGCGGATCAAATATGTGTGTAAATTATATAATAAAGGTTGTCTCTCTCCTCAATTCTCGTGCGTCACTTCTCTCAATAATGCCCTCTTAATATTCTCTCTCTCTCTCTCTCTCTCTCTCTCTATATATATATATATATATATATATATATATATATATATTGGCTCCCTTCTCTCTCTCCTCTCTCCTGTGTATATATAAATATATTCTCCGCCCCTTAGGGCATAGTCCAGTGGTGCAAAGGATAAGAGTGTGATTATTTCACGCCTTGCTAGCAGCCGCAATGTGGGAGTTTGATTCCTGAGACATGGAATTGGACTCCTTGTAGGCGCAGTGTACAGGCAGCTCTTGTTCCCTGACTTGTTGGGGCACATTCCGCTATTTACCTCTCTAAAAAAGCTCTCGGGGTGGGACGGTGGGGGCCCTCAATATTGGAGTTCAACCTTTATATTCTCCTCATAGCCACAAAGTTTAACTCCCATTCAAAGCCTTTAATGTCATATTACCCATCAAGTCCTCGATCTTTCAATATAATAAATTTCAGTCCTTAAGCCCTTTTATTCTTGCAACCCATGTATTTTTTGGTTCAATTCAAGTCCTTTACTTTCTAAAATATTCAATTTGACCTCCAAACTCTTCAATCTTCGATTCATGGTCCGGATCAACTATTGAATTGTTACAACTTGGTCTCAAACTTTTGGATTTGGCCCTTTTTTGCTTCATTCCTTCAATTCATTTTCCTTCATAAAACTTCACCTATTAAACATAAAAAACAGAAATTTAGGATATAATTTGTCAAAAGAACCATCAAATATCGCTATTTAAGGTACCGATTAAGTGTATAAAATACACTTATCAAATACCCCTAAACTTAAACATTTGTTTGTTCTCAAACAAAATTATAATCTAAATAGTAATAGACACACATTCATGCAAAAATATTTGGCTAGACAGTTTAGCTTTTTACCTCATGATTCAAGATATTAGTGTTTACTCTATAAACATGCTTCAAAGTCACAGTACCAAACTAATATACACTCTTCCAATACAAAAATTAACGTGTGTGTGTGAAGAATTGAGTAATCAACCATGACTACACAAGTTGTTTCAATCCCCGACCCTTAATGGTCATATATGTCATTTCATCACTCTAAAGATTCACACCCCCAAACTTATTCTTTTTCACTCTTTTCCAGTGTACAATATAAGGTTGAATATTTCATTACTATCCTCACCCTCTCGAGTTTAGATGGACGTTACTAGTTGCAAGTCAACACTTTAGTGAATAAGAATTCTTCAATTATTTGATTGCTTCGACCCCTAATACTCAACTAGCTAATTATCTTGCATCAAATGTCGAATTCCCTCAAATAAGTGTTAGGGCTTAACCAAGGTATTTAGTGTTTTTACTCTTTTCATGCGTTTTCTTTTTCTGTTTTTCACAAGTATTTTTTTTTATTCTCTTCATTAAGCTTCCTAAATGACCCATGTAGCAGGCTTTAAATTGATGACTTCCAAATCAGATGTTTTTAGGGCACCAGATTTTTAAATACCCTTATAAGCTTACTGACCCGAGTCAAAAAGGCTTCGAAGAGAACAAATTTTTTTTTTTCAAGTGCAACTTCGTCTCTAATTGCTTTCTAAATGATCCTTGTAACGAGTTTTAGGTCGATGACTCCCAAGTCAAACGACTTTAGGGCACCAAGTTTTAAGATACCCTTACAAACTTAATCACTCGAGTCATAAAGGTTTCGGAAAGAAGTTTAAAATTTTAAAATGTATATCCATTGATTAGTGCAATGCCCCTTATCATACACTTATTCAAACAAATCAGCCTCTAATTTAAGACTTTCGCGGAGTTTTATTATGTTAGTCTAAGATAATCCACACATAAGTTTTCACACATGGAATCCACATTCACATCCGCATCTTCCTACAACAGTAAAATCACCCCCAAACTGTGCTAAATTTGGTATAAAGATAGATAATTTATTATAGTTTTGGTAAAGCATCTATATCCAACTAGATCAACCTATCAAAAGCAAGAAACAACTCATTTAATCATAATGTCAAACTCAATTCTAGTGCGCTTGTAATATCAAATTTTGCAAGGTCGAGCTTCAATTAGTCTAGCATGCATTCTATCCACAGTTCATAAATCAAAACCAAATCTCAAATTAAATCATCATTGTCTGCCACACTGTCTAACCCACACAAGCACACAACTGAACAAAATAGTTTTTTTTTTTTTTTTTATAATTTCGATTTTTTTCTTTTTTTCTCTAACAAACACACAAAAACATAAAAATAAAAACTAAAAGTTTTTTCACCCCCAAACTTAAAACTGACATTGTCCTCAATGTCATAAAGTATAAATAAGCACATAAAGGAGGTGGGAAAGAAAAAAGAAGAAGGTACTCCCCAAATTTTCTGTCGAATGTGTGAGGCACTATGTGAGACGACTGGATAATATTTTTCATCATGCTTTCCCTTAGATCTATGTTGGTGTGAGTGTTCCACATCGTCATGTTCTTGAAAATCAAATTTAAC